CTCCCCTGAGGATATTTTTCCCATTGATTTTTCAGAGAGAGTTGGCCGGGAGAGAGGGAAGCAAGGAAAGGAGGGGAGGAGACAGATCATCCAAAGTAAGAGAAACATATGCCCCAACTGGGACCAGAGATCCAACCTGCAACCCAGGTACATGCCCTTGAGCACGAATCAAACCTGGGACCCTTTGGTACGTGGGCTGATGTTCTAATCACTGAGCAACACCCAGCCAGGGCACACACACACTTTCTTTGATAGATGCCAAGAAAACTCTTAAATGTGCAACATTTACATCCAAGGAGGTAGGAGCAACTTAGGACCCTGCAAGGTTAAGCCTTGGGAATTAACCCACAGGATCCATAAGGTGGGAGGTGACCCTTGGGGCTTTGCCAGGCTGTACAGTTAGGGGTTAAAGCAGATCCCGGGGCTGGCTTCTGGTTACAGTCTTGATCATTGCTCCCATCCTGCTCTTGGGACCCCATTACCCCCCATCTGCCCCCCTTCCCCTTCATCCCATTTTGCAATAAACAGCTTTTGGTTTTGAATTATTCAGGTAATTTCTCCCTCTTTTTACTTCCTTTATGTAAATAGCCTCTAAGCTTTGTCATTGAGATAGAATTGAATTTGGCCTGGAGAAAAAAACACAACCCACAATACTGTTTGTGGCTCCTTAAAAAACTTAAATGACTCGGCCTGTAATAAACTACTTTAAATGGGATCTGGTGAAATACAGTAATTGGTTTCTATAATAGCTCTTACCATAACAATATGGGTTATATTCCTGGAGTTTAGTGTATGTCAGCATTTTCATTATAGTAAAAACTCAGTGATGCAGGGTGTTGAGCTCTGTGGTTAGTTCTTTTGTTTAGTACCTATTAATGGAGACCTACCATGCTGGATCTCTTCTGTTTGCTCCTCCAGATCCTCTCCCCTCCCTTATGCTTCCTGTCCCATGCCCAGGAAGACTTACCTATCAGTATGCTCCCTTGCCCCCTGGCTTCCAATTGGGCAAGATCAACAGAAGCATCAGCAAGAGATTGGAGGAGGGGAGGGAGGAGAGTGAGCTCCAGGTACTCATTCCTTGCTCGCTTCTGGTGCAATTTGGACAGACTGGCTGCAGTCTGGACTGAAGATCTGGGTCCATGCACCTCTCTCCTTTAGGGATAACCATTTGCTCTGGAAAGAATCATTTGCTTTGTGAAGACTCCATTAAACTCCTGAGATTATTCTCATATGACCTTGCCAGCTATTTTCTGCTGGAATCCTGACACTCCTGCTTTGTACCAACCATTCTGTTAGGTGCTTGGTACAAAGAGGAAGAATAAAAATGATGTGGAAGAAAATAGCAGCTCCCACTTACCAAGAGCTCTCTGTTTGCCAGGGACCATGCTAAGGTCTTTCTGTGTATTATCTCATTTAATCCTTGCAAGCCCTTGAGGGAAGGGTTATTATCGCCCTCGTTTTATAGAGAACGTCACAGAGAGCTTAAGTAACTTTTATAAGATCACACAGCTGATCCCTCCAGAGCCCACCCCTCTTTGCCACAGAACTACACTGCCATCTCTGAGGAGTTATCTGAGGGAGACACACACCTAAAAT